CTCCTCTTTTGAGCTAGGCTAGCAGGCCAGCAAGACCTTTGGATCCACTGGTCTCTGCCCCCAAAGATGGGGCCTCAGGCCCACCCAGGTGGCTATGCCTGGCTTTTTACTTGGGTGCTGGAGATTCCAATTCGGGTTCTCATGCTTGTATAAGCATTTCTCCGGCCCAAGTTGACTTTTTAACATTATTAATTTTCAGTGTTTTTTCATGGGGAGAAAATAAAGGACTATTGATTAATGTGAGAGTTAGGAAAGTACTATGTTGTTGCTTTGTCATAAATATTCAAGGAAGATTTTTAAATTGATTTTGTGTATTTCATACAGAACATCCCAAACAATCTTATTCGTCTTTATACCCACATCCCAAATGGCACTCACCCATCGCCTCCCCCCTCCACCCCCTACCACTGGAGTCTATATACTCTGCCATCCCTGTCACTGCCCACTGTGTTGTCAGTGCCCCCAGCCATTCCCCAGTGCAAATTCATCCTCTGAGTCTAGTCAACTTATCTAGAGTCCCTTGTTTTAGGGAGATCAGCTCTTTTTCACCTAGCAGCAATCAGTTGCCAACATTCCTTTAGATAAGATTGGAGTCTGTTCATTTTCCCAGTTCTGTGCTGGGTTTACGGTCTGCCTGAGTTTGCATGGGATTTGTTTTTTTTTTTTTTAATTTTTTAAAAAACTTTATTATTTTATGTGTATGAGTGTATTGCCTGCATGTATGTGTGTGCACCTGTGTCATGCAATGCTGCAGAGGTCAGAAGAGGGCTTCAGATTCCCCTAGAACTGGAGTTAAGGACGGTTCGTAGCCACCATGTGGGTGTTGGGGATAGAACCCCGGTCCTCTGCAAGAGCAGTCAGTGCTCTTAACCACTGAACCATCTCTCCAGCCCCATGCATAGGACTTGTATATGCTGATACCTATGACATAGAATCTATGAGCAGGTTCCCACGAGCTTGTAGGACTCTATTTCCATATGGTCATGCCCATCCTCCCTGGCTCTTACAATTTCTCTGCTCCCTCTTCTGCGATGGTCCCTGAGCCTTGGGTAGATGAAGTTTGTTAAATGGGTCCTGTCCAAGGACCATTATTTAGTAGACTCTTGATCTCTACACTTTGGCCATTTGTGACCTTATGTGTTCCTGACCCTCCACTGCATGAGGGAGCTTCATTATTGAGAAATGATTTCTTAGTGTCCTCTTCTTTACCCCTGTTCTATGTTCCATGAGCATTAGGTATAGAGGTTGCATTGCAGGTGTGTCCCTTAGGCCTGGACAATTCATAGACAATGCACATGTGTGACCAGTTGTGGTACTTGGTAGTAGTCTCTGCTGCAAAATGAGCTTTTTTAATGAGTGGTGACTGGGATATTTGTAAATATAAGGATACCTATTTTGCACATAGTAAGAAATCACATTAGTCTAGCGATGTGATACTTTTGGGGTTTTCTCTAAGATCTATGACTACTCCGGCCATGTGTACTAGGTTATATTACAGTACCACACTTGAGTTTCCTCCCTTTGAGTGGGCTTTTAGTCCAATTAGGTAGTGATAATTGCCCCCAAGACAAAAGTGCCACTACTGCACGGATGGAGTATGCTGTGCTGGCCGTTGATGTGGTTATTTTGTCTGGAAGCTGGTGCTGGATCATCCATTGATGTTTTCCCTTGGCACTCTCCAAAGCCATGAGAGCTAGCCTTCAGGGGAAATGGCTTCCAGGTCAGTTGCAGCTCTGTTTATCCAAATCCTATGTCTGACATATGTTCTGTCTTCATCAGTAGGGTCTTACCTTCAAGTTCTGGGAGGCCATCAAGGGCTGTGGCAATAGCCTGAGTGGCCTCTTGGACCACCCTGGCCAACAACTCAAAAGAAGGTATCTCCTGTCTGGTGCTGTTTCTTGTTATGTAGCCTTTAGCTATACACATGGACTCTTAAAGAAATATACTGATCACGTTAATCTTTGGTTATACTTTCCTTTTGGGTGTTTAAGACCATACAGTTAGCCCAAATAAACCAAGTTATTTTTACTCTTAAGGTAGTTTGAGGATCTGTTCCTTAGGGGTCACATGGGCTTGGGAGGAGCCCCTGGCTTCTTTCTTTTACCAATTCCACTTATGTAAAGATAAGTCAAAGGTCTGGCTTGACCATAGCTGGCTTCACTTAGAAGCATGGAAGAAATGTTTCCTCTGTGTTAACCCTCCAATTTGTAGACTGGACAGTGGTTCAGGTCCATCTGGTGGGGTCTCCATGGCCTCCCTGAACAAGAGGACAGGTGACTCACCATAGTTACAGGACATTGAGATGCTCCATAGTCCCCTGGAACTTAGTTGACCTTGGAGGGTGTGCTGGATAGCTTTAGTGTCAACTTGACACACCTGGGTTGAGGGAGCCTCAATTGGGGAATTGCCTCTATTGGACTGGCCTTTGGCCATGTCTGAGGGGCATCTTCTTGATAAGTGATGTCGGGGGGCCCGGCCCACTATGGGTGGTGCCACTCCTGGGCAGGTGGGCCTGTGTTGCATAAGCAAGCAGGTTGAGCAGGGGCCAGAGGAGTAAGCCAGTAAGCAGTGTTCCTCTATGGCCTGTACTCCAGCTCCTGCTTCCAGGTTCCTGCCCTGAGTTCCTACCTTGGGCTCCCAGATGAGCTGTGACCTGGGATATGTAAGACAAATAAACCCTTTCCTCCCCAAGTTGGTATTGGTCAGAGTGTTTTGTCAGAGCAATGGAGAAACAAACTAAGACAGAAATTGGTACCAAAGAGTGGGATATTGCTGTGATAGACCTGATCTTGGTGATTTGGGGAGGACTGTGGAAGTGTTTGGAACTTTGGGCTGGAAAAGCCATTTGTGTGCTCAGAGTTTGTTGCAGTGGAGCTTGGAACAGTTATGCTGAAAGAGTTATAGACGATGGAGGCCTGGCTTGTGAAGCTTCAAAGAGAAGCGGAGACTATCAGGGCTGTTTGTGAGGGATTTTTGGATTGAGAATCTGTGGGTTCTGGTCAGCTGGGGCTGAAGAATCAGCTGTGTATAAGAGACCAGAACCTGAAGCAAAACCTTTGCTTTACTGGGACAATTGATGCTGGCTAGCTGGGGCTGAAAAATCAGCTGTAAGTAACAAGAGACCAGCATCACTGTGGTGAAGTCTTCTGGGAGGTATTTCCTCAGGGTCAGCACACAGATGGGGTCAGCACACAGACGGGACCCATACCTCTATTTCAAGCTGGAAGCAGGGCTTGGTAATATGTAAGTCTCCTGCATGGTCTGGTGTTGAAAGCGTGAAGGGGTCACAGACAGCAGCTGAGGCTTGGCACTCTGAGAGGCCAGGAAAGGCCATAGGTGAAAGTACAGCTTCAGTTGCAGCGAAGACCCCAGGACTGAAGGGGACCTGGAGAGAATCTGAGGCTTTGCACCCCAAAAGGCAAGAAGAGGCCATTGGTGAAGGTGTAGCCTCAGTTTCAGTGGCGACCCCAGCTTTTTGGAGATGCCGGGACCATGGGATGACCACCACAGACAGCAGCAGGTGTAGAATGGAGCTGGCCTGGGTCTGCCAGACGAGCTGAGTGTGCTGTGGACGGCAGAGTCAGAGCAGTGGAGCTGCCAGTACCCTTTGGAGCCCAGAGGATCATGAGTGAATCCCAGATGTCCAGCCTTGAGCTACTTTGCTGGACTTAGGTTTTGCTTAGGTGTGCCCAATTCTTCCCTTTGAAATAAGACAGTATTTGTTTTGGATTTTATAGAAGCCCACCCACAGTTAAGAGACTATTAAGAGACTATGGACTTCTAAGTGTTTTTATTTTTTAAGGACTGTGGGGTTTTTAAGTTTGTACTATCTTATGTTGTGATATTAATGTTAACATCATGTCTTGGGGACATAGAAAGGTTATGGTTTAATAGTGATGTGTTTGTGTGTCAAGTTGATAAGGGATCAGTTGTGCTAGATAGCTTTAGTGTCAACTTGACATACCTGGGTTGAAGGAACCTCAATTGGGGACTTTCCTCCATACGACTGGCCTGTGGCCATGTCTGTGGGGCATCTTCTTGATTGTTGAGTGATGTGGGAGGGACCAGCCCACTGTGGGTGGTGCCATCCCTGGGTAGGTGGGCCTATGTTGCATAAGAAAGTAAGTTGAGCACTGGGCCTTAAGCCAGTAAGCAGCATTCCTCCATGGCCTGTACTCCAGCTCCTGCTTCCAGGTTCCTGCCCTGAGTTCCTACCTTGGGCTCCCAGATGAACTGTGACCTGGGAGATGTAAGACAAATAAACCCTTTCCTCCCCAAGTTGGTATTGGTCAGAGTGTTTTGTCACAGCAATGGAGAAACAAACTAAGAGGGCAAGGGGCAGACCAGATTAGTATAGGCCTCAAAGTATGGCTGTTAAACATCCAAGAAGATTAGTTTCACCAGTCTGGTACTTTTAATTACCCTGTGCTATGCAGATAAAGCTTGGGCAAAACCAAATGTTCTCAGATAAACCTTGATAAATATTTTGTTCCTTGAACTAGTTGTATGTATAATTTGTCAGTAGGTTATTGGACTAATATGGTTCCCTCTGGTTTTTTAAAACTAGGCATTATTTATCTCTCTCACTGTCTAACCCTTACACCATGGTTTCCTCATTTAAAGTGCTCCCATTTTCCCCATTTCTCCCTTGTTAATATCCTTCTCCTATGGTCCCACCTCTCTTGAACTCCTTTCCCTTTATCTCCAAGGCTCCTTGTATAACCCTCCCTCCCTCCTCCATTTAAAAAACCCCATTTTTATCCATATTTCCCTTAGTAACACCTTCAAGGAAGATTTTAAAGAAACATTTTAATTTATAACCCCATAAAGGTCATTATTTTTCTAAATTTTCTAAATTCACAATTCATGATTTTGCTCTGCCTCCATTAATAACGTAATCCCCTTTATGTCTCCTTTATACATCAGAAATAACAAGTGATGAAATGAATACAAATTTGGGTGTCAATTCTAGCTAATATTCAAACTTCTTTGATAACTAGGTATTGATTTCTGACTTTTGAAGATGGATGAAGGAACAGAAGTTTCAACTGATGGAAATTCCTTGATCAAAGCAGTCCACCAGAGCCGGCTTCGCCTCACAAGACTTTTGCTAGAAGGTGGTGCCTACATCAATGAGAGCAACGACCGTGGAGAAACACCTTTGATGATTGCTTGTAAGACCAAACATGTTGACCACCAGAGTGCCGGTAAAGCCAAGATGGTGAAATACCTGTTAGAGAACAGTGCGGATCCCAACATACAAGACAAATCTGGGAAAACTGCTTTGATGCATGCTTGCTTAGAAAAAGCTGGTCCAGAGGTGGTTTCCTTGCTCCTAAAGAATGGAGCTGACCTCAGCTTGCAAGACCGTTCTGGCTACTCGGCTTTAGTTTATGCTATAAATGCAGAAGACAGAGAGACCCTGAAAGTACTTCTTAGTGCTTGCCAGGCAAAAGGAAAAGAGGTTATCATCATAACCACAGCCAAATCACCCTCTGGGAGGCAGACCACCCAGCAGTACCTCAATATGCCGCCTGCAGACCTGGATGGGAGCCATTTGCTAGCCGCCTGTACCACGCCTTCGGAAATAGACATCAAAACAGCCTCGTTGCCACTCTCATATTCTTCTGAGACTGACCTGACACTTTTTGGCTTTAAAGATAGGGAGCTGTCTGGAAGCAGTGATAATTCCTGGGATCCAGGCTCTCCTGGGAGAAAGCCTGTGCTGGCCACGAATGGACCCAAGCTACCCCAGGCTCCAGCCTGGATCAAGAGCCCCCCATCTTTAAAGCACCAGACCAGGGTGGCATCCTTGCAAGAGGAGCTCCAAGATATTACTCCAGAGGAAGAAATAGCCTACAAAACCAATGCACTGGCCCTGTCTAAGCGCTTCATCACCAGGCACCAGAGCATCGATGTAAAAGATACTGCACACTTGCTCAGAGCCTTTGACCAGGCCAGCTCAAGGAAGATGTCATATGATGAAATAAATTACCAGTCTTTGTTTCCAGAAGGAAATCAGCCATGCATTGAAATCCCCATTGACCAAGACCCAGACTCTAACCAGACAATATTTGCTTCCACCTTGAAAAGTATAGTTCAAAAGCGAAACTTGGGGGCCAATCACTATAGCTCTGATTCTCAGCTCTCAGAGGGTGTTACCCCACCAACCTTAGAAGAGGGCAAAGCAGGAAAGAAAAAGATCTTCTCACCATCGCCTTCCTTGGTATCAGGGTCCAAAGAATTGATGGAGAATATTCCTCCCGGCCCCCTGAGCAGGAGAAATCATGCAGTTTTAGAAAGGCGTGGTTCTGGAGCATTCCCTTTAGATCACAGTATTGTGCAGACCAGACCTGGGTTTCTGCCACCCTTAAATGTAAACCCTCACCCTCCCATTGCAGACATCGGTGTTAACAAGATGTGTAGCCTGCTTTCTTGTGGTCAAAAAGTGCTTATGCCAACTGTTCCTGTTTTCCCGAAAGAATTCAAAAGCAAAAAGATGTTGTTAAGGAGACAGTCACTGCAGACAGAACAAATTAAGCAGTTAGTAAATTTTTAAGAAATGGCTAGCAAACACATTATGTCCAGATGTCTGTATCAGAGAAACATAGATTTAGAGAAGAAATCTTCAATGTGTATCCTTGTAAGTCTTGGTTAGTCCATCATGGGTAGGCAGATCAAAATATAATGTATTTTGTATTAGGTACTCTTAATACACAGATACATAGTTTCTGCTAAGTGAATTCACTCAAACAAAATGAAGGTTATTTTTCTCAACACTTTCAATGTTATCAGTCTTCATGTAGTCCAAGTTTTCCATCTAAACAAAACCAGCCAAGAAAGAATGTTGCAGATGTTAGACATAATTTTTTAAAATATCAAATTGGCTTAATTTTTTATTAAATAATGTTTTCAAGTCAGAAATTTTGTTAACATTTTATGTGAACAGCATTGTAATTTTCCATGGTGCCAAAATCATAAAACACTGACAGCTGTCAAATATTCTGACACCGGTAAAGAAAAACTACAAAAGAAGAATGAACAGATTCTTAGAAAATGTTGAGTGTAGGCAGATAAAAGTCTAATTACAATTTCAAAAGAAAAACGAGTCAGAATGAGCAAATAATATGTTCATAATGCCTGTTAAACCAGTGTCAAATTGGCAGGTCAGGGGGACCTGGCTGGGAGATGCCTCACTTGCTGTGCAAGCCTGATGATATGAGTTCAGAGTCCATGTGAAAGCCAGACCCAATAGTGCAAGTGTCAGTATGCCCAGTGCTTCCCTAAGGGGAGATAGGAGGCAGAGACAGGAGAATCTCTGGATGTTCATGGACCAGTAAGTCTGGCTGACGCAGAGGTGAAGAGACCCTGTCTCAAACAAAGGAAAGGCAAGGACTGACACCTGAAGGTCATCCTCTGGCCTTCATGTGCCCTCTGTCACACAAACAGGCAGGTCAGACTGGCAAACCAAATGCTGAATTCTATTGTTTTTGTGCCATATTTTGCTTTTAAACAAACTTACCTATCATCTTACAGAATTATTCTTTCTCAGTACTTTTTAATTCCTGTTATTTTTGAGGATCTTATCCATAGGTTTCCAACAGTAGGATAATATAAAAATTAAAAAGTATTCACCTTCATATCCATCAAATTACTATTCTTGTCTTCCCAAAAGAAACAACCAAATCAGAAAAGTAAAAGCAAAATGCTTGGGATTTATCACAAATGGAAATTAAATGCTTGCTTCATTTAAAAGAAAAACTGATTAATAGGTTAGTTTAGTTTAGCTAAAATTACAAAAGTCAGTAGAATTTTAATCATAAAATGTATTAAAGATTCGGTCAATATTAAGCAATATCTTTTTATTTCTGATATGTAGTAATTAGATATTCATATAAAGATAATGTCCTTGGTGTGACATTTGGATCATCTAGTATTTTAGGGCCTATGAATAACTTTACAAAGTATTATTATAAAGTATTTAGAAAAGACTATATTATCTAAATGACTTCAAAGTATGGTGTTCAAAGAATTCTTACTTCTGAAGCAAAGAGTAGCTGATACTTTTGAAAGCCCAAGGCTGTGAATCTGATGACTGTTGTCCACAATTTTATTTCTTTGCTTCCTAGGCGGTGTGATGCCATTCTTGGTGATTTGATATAAACCAGTTGAAATGTATATAGTAATTATTTAATTATTTGTGGCTTTTGTTTCAAAAAGTGACAGCAGATTTTTCCATTTAATGTTTTGAAGACAATATTAATTATACTAGAAATATTTTTTTTATTCAGAACTTAAAATTGTACTGATGTTTATAAGTAGCTAAATTCTTTTTGCAAGTTTTAATACCACAAAAAGTACTTGGCTTCCCATTGTAAGGATACTGTTTGGAAGAATATGTAAACAGATTAAATTCATAAACAAGATGGTATCAATAAAGATTTAAAATATCATTTTGAGTAAGTTTTATTAGTAAATATTTTAACATAACTTCAAGAAAAATTGTGCTATATATATATTACTTTAACTAACTAGAAATAATAAAGTCTAGGCTCTGTTCTCTTTCCAACATGAAAAAAATTATTTAATAGAATTAAACTTTTTTGGCCATCATCAGAATATTTAACCAGCTAGAAATCCTAAGAACATTTTATATTGATATTGTTAGAGTATGACTGTAAAACCAGATCATCAGACTTGACTTCACTAAGTAGAATGCTCATTGGGGTGCCAGTGATGAGACACCGATGTCTCCAGCAGGAATCGTGTGTGTGTGTGTGTGTGTGTGTGTGTGTGTGTGTTCGTTCGTTCCATGTTTTAATTTCATATTGAGTTTGAGTTAACCTAAAGGTCAAATGACTACCTACTAGTTTTACAGGTACCATTCTTAGTTCCTGGGGAGCAGAAATTCCTGGAAATATAGCTAATACTGACCCAGGGCAGCAGTCATTTAGAGGAGGGCAGGGTAGCCCCTGATACTGAGGTAAGCCTGACGTTGCCCATCCAGGATGGTCTCTCCAGTAGAGATGCTTCTATCAGACATCCTTTACAAATCTCATTCTGTTCCCTAATAATTTGATTCCTGCATAGTGTGCTTAAAAGAGAGGCTGCATTTGGATGATGAAAAACATAACTACCATATGATTCCACTGTACCACTCCTGGGTATATACCCAATGGATTCTAAGTTGGCACACCACAAAGATACTAGTATATCCACATTTATTGCTGTACTATGCTATTCACAATAGCCAAGATATGGAACTAGCCTAGATGCCCTTCAACAGAAGAATGAACTATAATATATATACACATGAATATACACATGAGTTTTATTCAGCCATAAAGAATAAAAGCCATTTCCAGGAAAGTGGCTTGAACTAGAGATCACCATGTTAGGCAAAACATGCCAGACTTAGACAAACGTCATATATTTTGTCTTATGTGTAGAATAGAAATTTAAATATATAATATTTAAATACATATATGACATGAAAATACAAGTGGACTACCAAGTGGGGGATGAAGGGGACCAGGTAGAGGGGGAAAGAGGGAGGAACAGAGAGACTAATAGGAGGTGGATATGAGCAAAGTACATGCTACACCTGTATGAATATATTATGAGACTGGAGACATCACTGAGTGGGTGAAGTGCCTGCTGTGCAAGCGTGAAGATCTGAGTTCAGATCCCCAGCATTCACATAAAAGCTGAGCATGGCCACAGCACCTGCAAACCCAGGCAGGGAGGCAGAAACAAGAAGAGCCTGTGGTGTTACAGCCCAGACAGCAAGCTCCCCGATTCGGTGAGAGACCTTGTTTCAAACAACAAAGTGGAGAGTGAGTGATAGAGGACGACACCCAAAGTTGATCTCTGGCCACACACACACACACACACACACACACACACACATACACATACACACACCCCACAAACACACATGGGCATACAGCACATACATGTACAAAATATTATAATGAAACTCATCATTTTGTACAATGAATGGATGCTGATTATTTTAAATAAAAAACAACTTTTAAAGAGTTCCTTACTACCTTTTTCTCACTTTCCATGCCAAGCAAGCTGGGGCTACTCCCGATGCTGCTGTATGGTGTGGTATCCCTCCACCTGCTTGGATGAAATGTTAAGTAATGCCTTTTTCAAAATCAAATTTTTTTGAGACAGGGTCTTATGTAGTCCATGCTGACCTCGAACTCGATGTAGCTGAAGCTGACCTTGAACTACTAAGACTCCTCCTCCACAGGCCACTATGCCCAGCTCCAAAACCAATCTTTTTTTATCTCTCAGGCTTGCCATACCTGAATAATACTAAGGCAATACCCCGCCCCCCAATAAGGCCCCCCTACATTGCCCAAGTTGACCTAGAACTCCTGGGCTCAAGTGTTCCTTCAGCCTCAGTGTCTCAAGGAGCTGGAACTACAGACAATGCCTCTGTGCCTCGTTCAAAACCAACATTTTAATACAAAGCTTAATCCAATTGGAAGTCATAATTCTTAGTATATTAGTAATTGAATCTATGAGCCTTGTTTAGTGTCAATATTCCTTAAATTGCATTTATTTGTTTTGTTAAGACAAGGTCTCAATGTATAGCTTAGGTTGGCCTTGAACTCAAAAATCCTCTGGCCTCAGCCTCTGGAGTGCTGGAATCATTAAGCGTTTGCTACCACACTTAGTGTTTATTTATTGTTTTATTTATTCTCTGGCAATTTCATGCATACATACAATCTATTGTGATAATATTCACCTACACCTGGCTTTTAGATCACATGTCTAAGTCTCTAGGAGGGTCAGATTACAGTAACTCTGCCAGAATCAGTAGAGAGTCACCTCTGGCCTCTCAACTTGACATCCTAGCTCAGTGAACCATCTCTGTCTACAGCTCTTTTTATAAAAAAATATTTTATTTATTCTTCTTATTATTTTATGTATATGAATGTACTGCCTGCATATAAGTGCACCTGTGTTGTGCAAAGCCCACAGAGGTCAGAAGAGGGCATCAGATTCCTCTGGACCTGGAGTTACTGACAGTTGTTAGCCACCATGTGGGTCCTGGGAATTGAACCCAGGTACTCTGCAAGAGCAGCCAGTGCTCTTTGTAGGAGGAGGCCCGAAAATATTAGACAGGCCCCAGACCTAAAGGCCTTTTGCACAGGCCCGCTGCACTTCCTTTGTTTACCGCCAAACGGCTAACCTGATATCTGCCACCCAGACGGGAGACTGATGACACAGCTGTCGCACCAATGATTGTTAGACAACTCAGTTCTGATCGTTAGACAACTCAGTTCGTGGGACCAGTGGGGGAGGAGTAAGGGGTATAAAGAAAAGCCCTTTGTACACAATAAACGAGCTTGCTTGCTTACTGCCAGAGTGAGTCTCCCCAAGTCTGCACCATTGATTTTGTGCCTACTCTCCCCCTGCCCCCAATGGAGAGTCCTCAAGCAGCTAGCCCACTAAGACAGGCAAGAACAACAGCTCTTAACTGCTGAGCCATCTCTCCAGCCCCCTAAATGTCCACAATTCTTAAAAGGAAGGAAAAGAACACCTGAGAAGGATAGCTAATACTGCAAATAACACAAAAACGACAGGACCTAGTGTTCAGTCTACTGGAACACTAGATCAAACCAATAATGCAAAGCTTAACAATCATGAACACATTCATGATCAGTAATTGATGAGGAAAAATGGACAGCTTCAGCTAATTACTAGCTTAATGTAATCCTTGTGTGTTGGAACTGCCAACGGGGCTAAGATCATGTTATGAAAAGATTAATCTGGGTCTACTACTGACTCAGCACTTGCCAATCAACTGTGAAAGAGTTGACTCTAGGTATCACATTTAAACCAGAGTGTACACATAAGAAGTGTTACGGTTTGAATCTAAAATGTATCCATACAGGCTCCTATTTTGAACACTTGTTCCCAGGCTGGTGGCACGATCTTGTGAGGCTGTGGGGCCTGCCTGGCAGAAGTAGGTCATGTGGGTAGGTTTGTGAAAGGTACAGACTGGGCCCTGGTTCTGGCCACTCTCTACACTATTTCCTGTCTGCTATAATGTGAACAGCCTCTGCCACAGGGTCCTACCTCCATGCCTTCCCACTCCCCCAGAATGGATTGGAATCCTCTAAAACCACAACTCAAAAATAAAACTTTCCCTCCCTGGACTGGCGAGATGGCTCAGATCAGAGTGCTGGCTGCTTTTCCAGAGCACCCCAGTTAGGTTTCAAGCAGCCACATCAGCTGCTTACAACCACCTGCAACTCCAGCTCCAGGGGACCTGAGTTGGCTGCTCCTTCTGGCTTCCACAAGCACCCTAGGGACCCACATGCACATCACACACACACACACACACACACACACACACACACACACAAATCTTTTTTAAAAATCCCTCCTTAAGCTGTCCTGTGAGGTGTTTTGTCTCAGGGACTCAAATGTGTCCAATACAAAAAGATGAAAAAGACGACCAAGAATCTGAAAAACAAAGTGAGCAAAAGAATTAGTGTTGTTTAACCTGGAGAGAAAACCATTCAATTGAGATTAGACATCTGGACTTACATCAGAAAGCAATGATGAAATGACTTAACTCAGGGTCTACCAAATAAAGTCAAGCTGGGCCAGAACATGAAGTTACAGAAAGTTAGTTTCCACTCTCTGGT